TGCAGACCCAAAGAAATTATAACTAACAAGAAAGAGAATGGATCCACTGAAACTCAAATTACTGAGCTGGGGCAGCTAAATCTGGCAAAATGATCAAAGCAATTAAAATTAATAGGATGTGAAAGATAGCAAAATGATGCAATGTAAGGATTGATATCCCCAAAGAAAAGCAACCACAAACAGAGCCAAACAGAAGTTTAATGCAGAAAGACAAAACTAAAACTTCAGATTGAAATAACTGTATTTCAGAAAAACTTGCTTCAGAAGGTTTAATACTAAAATATCTCCTAGTTAGTGAACTAAGAAGTGATGAAGAGGTACTTTTCTAGCTATCCAAGGTAGGAGGCAGGGAGTCAGTTACAAGGGAGAAATTTAGACTGATATCAGACGTCTTCCAAATAGTAAAGAGCAATATCTACAACCTTCTGTGGGCAAGAAGGTGAGACTCAAGAATATTATGTATTAACCAGGGGCTGGGGATTTAGCTCAGCGGCATAAGCGCCTGCCTTGCAAGTGTGTGGTCGTGAGTTTGCTCCCCAGTACCGATAAAAAAGAAAAAGACAAAAAAAAAAAAAAAAAAAAGATAAGGCTCCAGCTGGGTGTGGTGGTACGCACCTATAATCCCAGCACTCAGGAGGTTGAGGCCGGAAAATCGTTGCAAGTTCAAGACCAGCCTGGACTACAAAGTGACTTCAAGGCCACCATGAGATGCACATTGACACCCTGTCTCAAACAGACAAAAAAAAAAAAAAAAAAAAAAAAGATATAGCTCTAGTGTGGGGACACTAGAAACACTTTTTTTTTTTTTAATATTGGGGATTGAAACCAGGGCCTCATGCATGCTAGGCAAGTGCTTTCCCATTGGCCTGCATCCCAAACCCAGGTACTTCTTGGGAAAAACAGCTGGACAATGAAATTTAGTCTGTTAGGAGATGAATTAAAGAGGTCAGGGATACAGCTCGGTAACACAAGCACCTGCCTGACAAGCATGCCGTCTTGAGTTTGATTCCCCGTACCGAATAAAATTTTTATTTTTAATTTAAAAATTGAAAAGCCTGGGTAAAAGGACCCAGGGATAGGCATTGAAGTGATCTAAATTTAGAATGTATGCTAAGTAACCATAGAATTATGTTTACAGAAAGAATAGAATTGTTGTAAACCTAGACAGTGTAACAATAACAAAAGTCAGGAAGCTGGGTCAGGAGAGATGTAAAGAGCTGATTTTGCAAAGCAATGCGTGGGTGCGGGCTAAGTGTGCACACATGTGCACACACACACACACACAGGCTGAAATGTGTACTTTAAGAAAATGACGAACTCTCTTACCGTGTTTAACAATTTTTGTTTAACCTCAGAAGCAAGTTTTAGGAAGTAATAACTTTTGTGGTCAAGAAACATTCTCTGAAGCTCGACTCTTCAGTATTACTTCAACTTCTTAGCTCCTTTTAAATTCAAGTAAAGTCAAACATAATAATTTTTCATTTAAATAGCATCAGTGTTATACTCCACATTTCTAAAAAAAGGTCACTATTGTTTTTCGTCCTGTCTGTAAATATTCATAAAAATCCACCCCCAGTGAAATATTCATCAGGAGTCTTTCTGGGTGGTGGCACTGAGATAGTTTAAACTCTTCTATAATGTTTGAATTATTTAAAGGATATATCGCTTTTATAAAAATCATGCAATTTCTATTTAAAAAGGAGCAGATAGGATAAAAATTTATTTGTAGTTCATTCTGAACGGGGGTATATGGCTGATTTTCTTGTTCGTTATTTTTTTTAAATTCTGATGTTCCAAAAAATAAATACAATTTTAAAGTTTTAGAAAAAAATCTTCAGATATCTCACTGCAACAGAAAAAAAAATAGCCTAGAAACAGGCATGGAAGAAGTTGCAAGAATCTTCCAATTGATGGACAAAATTGCTCACTGCTCAGCTGTGGCCAATGGAATGTAAGCAGAAGAGCCCCGTGGCAGAGTCTGCAGTCACTTGAGATCATTTGCTCATTTTCTCTGTATTATCTTCATAACCTCCTGCTGCCTGGAATGCAGACAGTGTCATATTTTTGGACCATGACAAGAACATTCAAAGCCCCGCAGTGAGAGAGAAAGCATAGGATGACAGTCATCTAGCCCTAGACTACATACCTGTGCAACATGAGAAACTTCTACCTCACTGCAGACACTGATGGAATCTGAACTGATACAAACCCTCCACACACACACACACACACACACACACACACACACACAATGTAGTCTGCCATACCATTTGCATTGTCTATCCAAAGAGGGTCTAACTGGTGTGCTGGATCAGAACACATTCCTCAAATGTGACAAAAATGGATTTATAAGGAAATACTGAGACAGTATTTTTATGAACTTCATTGGAAATGATTTTTTCCATTTTATTTATTTATTTTTTGGGGGGGACAAGGTCTTTCTACATAGTTCAGGCTGTCCTTGAACTCAAGTTGATCCTCTTGTCTCAGCCTCCCTAGTGCTGAGACTGGATGGTTTGTTCTTTTTTTTGTGCTTTGTTTGTGGTGCTGTGTATAGAACCCAGGGCCTCGTGTATGTTAGGCAAGCTCTCTACCACTAAGCAACATCCTCAGCTCTTTTTCCTTTTTTAAAATCAAAAATGAAAATCATAAAATAACAGGTAAACTTGACCATAGAAAATTTTTAAACTTTTTGTTTGTTTTGAGACAGGGTCTTCCTATGTAATTCAGGCTGGCCTCAAACTCACCCGCAAACTCTCTCAACAATCCTCCTGCCTCTGTCTCCTGAGAGCTGGGACTACAGGCACATACCAGCATGCCTGGCAAAATTTTAAATTTCTATGTGACAAAATAGTGAATTGTTAATAAAAATAAAAGAGAAACAAGAGGCTTGGAGTGTAGCGTTTCCTGAGGTGAAATCGTGTCCAAGTTTAATAGGTACTAGACTCAAAAGGGGGAATAGGGGAAGGGATGGATGTCAGCTAAATTGGGAATTGATTACGTTTTCCATTTTTCAGTAGTGACAATGCATATTAGCTAGTCAAACAGCTCTGAGGATTTCTGCAGAAACCATTTCCGTGGTACAGAATTCTGCATTCCTCAAGATTGTACTGTTGGGCCAGTCTTTTCTCATTGCAACATCTATGGATTTCTCCTGGGAGTGTGGGGAATGCTGGGAAACGCTGTCATCAGAAAGAACACTTTTGCGCCATGTGAGAAATGATTGTTACCCGGTCAGATTATAGTCCTTGAATGCTTTGAAACTTGCTGAATTTGGTACTCAGTGCTTTTTGACCTGAAAAACTAGTTCCAATGCCTGAGGTTTGGTACTTGCCATGCAAACTAGAACTTGTTGGCATGGACAGCCTCCCGTGACTTGCTACCTTTCTAGCCAAAATACTTGGTACTGATCCTGCCTGCTGGGGCCAATTAACTACACAGCAGGCACCGAGGTACTAGGGTACTCAGCTGTGTGTCCCTGGTGGTAATTCTGACTCCCTCAGAAGTCCCGTCCAGAAGCAGCATGAAAAGAATAGTAGTCATAGTAATGAAGAAGGAATGTTTGGTTTGGAAAAAAGGAGGAAATTCTACTAGAGGGAGCACATCCCAACAGGAGGAAGAGCGCTGCAGCCTGGATCTTCCTTCTCACAGCGCTTGCTGGTACTGCTGGCAATCGATGTTTTGAAAGATGCCCAAGCAGGGACTAATGACCTAGTGACCGTTTGAAGGATCATTGGGGCAGCCCCCAGGGAGTGGTGAAGCACAGAAAGGCAGCGGTGACAGACTTCTTTCTTATAAGAAAAGAAAACAGAAAAGCACAGCAGAAAAGGCTTAGAAGGACTGAATCAACACTGACATCATACTGTCTTTTTTTTCCTTGACATTAAGACCCTTCCCGTCTGGCGAAGGAGATATTATCAAACAAGCGCACTTCAACTACCTTTTAAAGTCATTACTTTCTTTTCTTGAGACAAGATCTCACTAAAGTCCACGAGCTGCCCATGTTGGACTCCCCACTGAACTGTGGGGAGCCTCTCTGTTTTTAGGGTAAGCAACCAGAGGCACAGTTAGCAACCTGTCTGTATTGGGACAGACAAACTAGCAAGGGGTGGCAGCAAGTTTCAGCGGCAGCCTCAGCTCCCCTAGCTGCGATGCTGGCCTGCTACACTGCCAGGCTCAGGACGCGGGCCGGCAGCGGAGGGAGCGCGGTGGACGCGGCGCTGGGCAAGTCCAGGGGTGCGAGATCAGCTGCTCGAGGTGACCTGCTGTGCGGCCGGCAGAGAAAGCAGGGAAGGGCCGTTGTGGGGTGGGGAGCGGGAAGATTCAGGGCGTCCGGATGCCGCGGAAGGGCAGCGAGGGCGCTTGCCAAAGGCCGTGTGCGGCCCAAATGAGCTGTTCTGGCGGGAGTGGAAGAGGTGGTTTCTCAGGAAGACACTGGGGGTGGACGTGTGCGCGCGTGTGTGTATGTGCATATGTGCACGTGTGTGCATGTGTGCGCACCTGTGGGTGCATGTGCATGTGTGTGTGGACGTGTGTGCACACATGTGCCCATTTGTGTGAGCGCGTGTGTGCACGTCCATATGTGTGTGCGCGTGCGTGTGGCGGGTAAGCACACCTGGCTGAGGCCGTCCGTCGGAGGGACGGGTGTGGAGCTCGTGCCTCACTGCACGGAGCAGGGAAGGCAGGGCGGAGGGGCCGGAGGGCTTCCGAGGACTCCGCCGATTCCGCGCCGACGGCGGGCAGGAGCAGGTCGCGGAGCCCTCCGAGGCCTCCGTGCGGGCAGAGCCGCCGCGGGACGTCTGAGTCGCGTCCCCGCGGTCCTCCGCGCCGCGCATCCCGCGCGTCGCGTGCGCCAGGCCCCGCAGCGGAGGCGGCCGGGCTCCTGGGGGCCCCGGGCCGCCCGCGGACTACAAGTCCCGGCAGCCCCGCCGGCGCGGCGCGGAGACCCCGGCGTCCGGGCCGAGGAGCGCTCGGCCGGGCGGGCTGGCGGCGGGCGGGCTGCGGGGCGGGGCGGGGCGGCCGCTCCCGCCGGGGGAGTTTCCAGGAAGTGGCCATATTGGATCCATTCAGCCGCAGCCGCCGGAGCGCGTCCCGCACCGGCCGCCCGCCCGCCCGCCCGCGCGAGCAGCATGGCGGCCACGGAGCTGGAGCGGCGCGCGGTGAGGCGGGGCGCGGCGGGCCGGGCTCGGGGCCGGGGCCGGGGTCGGGGTGCGGGCTGGCGGCGGCGCGGGTGGGAGGGCGGCAGGGGTCCGCGCGCCGGGTCCGGGGCGCAGGTGTGGGCGGAGGGGGCGGCCGCGCCCGGCTGCCCCAGGCGCCCCGGACGCTGCCCCGGGTGCCCCGCACGCGTGCGGGCTCGGGTCCTGCCTCCCCCCCACGTCCCCTCTGTGCCCTGCTGGGTGTGACTCGGGGCCGCTCGGGCCCCAGCGGTCGGGCTGCGGCCGCCAGTCCCCGGGAGCTGGGGCGACTCCGCATCCAGCTCGGGGGATGTTTGTTGGGGCTTCTCTCCGGGGCTGCCGCCTTCACGGCTGACTGCCCGGGGTCCCTGCAAGGGGGGCTCTGGACCTGAGCTAAGCTGTGGCCAACTTCCCAAAGGTTTTCTTTTAATAACAGTCCGGGGGAGGGGGGCCTTTGAGGGGTCGTGCCTGCATGACCCCTCATGTCCAGGGCTGGATCTGGGTGTGCCTGGGACGCTAGGCTGTGACAGTGAAGGAAACTGTGTCCTCCTGGCCAGTGAGTGAGGCCCTGGTCTGCTGAAGGAGGAGGAGGAGGCAGCGGAGGAGGGAGAGGGGAGGGAGGGAGTTGGGAAAGGAGAGGGAGGGCAGGGGAAGGGAAGGGCCCAGCATTGTGGGGAGGGAGGGGAATTCTGACTATGTGACCGATAACGAATTGGTCCTGGGGCTAAATAAGGGAGCCGAGACTTATGTAATTAATGCTATAAATACTGTCATTTGAGTTTATATATGTAGATGTCGCCTTTAATCTGAAAATACATTTTCCGGACTACTTTGCAAATATGCAAAACCAAGCAGGCCCTCTTGGTTTCAGAATTTGTTAGACTGGGGTGCTTGTTTGATTCCGTTTGGGGAGGGGGCTGCTGTGTATCGGTTAAGTAAGTTAAACTAGGCAAGGGACGGCCTCAGAAGCTGAGCTGATCTAAGAGCCGCCTCACCACTGTGCTGTAAACCGGGGTTTATAAATACTGGAGGAAGTAGCTCCTGAATCCTGATAGACTATGGAATTGCTGTATGCTGGCGCCGCTGCGCGTGTGTGTCCGTGCATTTTCTGTGCCCACCTGACCAGAAAGTTCTGTCTGGGTCTCGTCTGTGGCCAGGGGTTGCGCTAACAGTTGATCTTGCTGTGGGAGTGGTATGCAGAAGAACCACAATCCGATGACTCGATAGGAATCCTAGATGCTACTTGTCGGCCATGTGACCCTGTGCAAGGTACTTAACCCCTGCATGTTCTGGTCTGCAGGGTAGGATGAGGAGTGTGCCCTCTTTCCAGGGCTATTGGGAGGATGCAAGTGTCCAGAGGTAGTCCTCCGACAGTGGGTGGGCCGTCCTCCAGTTGGCTGGTGGGGCATCTCTCAGCAGTTTGGGTATTCTCCGGGTGGCCAGAGGGACTGACTCGGGGAAGGCTGCTGTGCCTGATGAAGCCAGAGGGGCTGACACCTTCCCTGCCAGACTCCTGGGAGGATTTGGCTGAGGTTGAATTTGGGTGGAGATCTTGGGTGGAGTGTGGCCTGAATTAGGAGTCTGCACTCCATTCTCCCCTCCTGGCTTGTCATCCTGGGGAAGGCGTTCTTTGCTCATCTTGCCTGCGCCATACTGCTCCTTCAGAGTTTGCAGGAATTCTCAGAGCCTCAGCGTGCCTGGCTTCTCGCTGGTGCCAGGGTCCAGAGGCAGAGGGGCAGGTCTCTGTGACCAGCGCAGTGCCCAGAGATCCTAAGAACTTCCCTGACCTGGAGTGGAGGAGACCATGCCAAGTTGTACTTGGAGATCAAGGTGTGCAGGGTCCCCCGTGTCTATTTAATATGGTGTACATGCCACAGACTCAGGAGCCGAGACGCCTGTCTGACCCCAGGCTCAGCCCGAGTGCAGCTATGAGGTTTGGGTCCGGACAGTCCTCGGGACTTTCAGTGGCCCCTTCTGCTTGGGCAGCTGGACCTGTGTCCACCCTTGCTCGGTCCCTTCTCTGGTTCTGACACCCGTGCTTCCTGTCCCGAGGACCCCCTCCTCTGTTCCTCCTGTCAGAACTGGGAAGGGCGTGGTTCCTGCTCCGTGCTGGAGGACCTCCTGGGCCTGGGAGTCGTGAGGGGGAGAGGAAGAAACGTGAGGTGTCTCAGCTTTACTCGGGCAGTCTTCCCAGCCTGTCACTCACCCCCGTATCTGCTTTATCCCCAGCACCATCTGTTACTTCCGTTGTCACCCCTGTAATCTTGACACCTCCCTGAGAAGCAGACTATCTAGGGAGTGCTATTCTGTCCTGAAGCAGGGGACGTGGGAGGCAGGCCTCGTGCCCATGGGGCCTGGGGTCCCCTCTGCAACGGAGGACCTCCCTGTGCCAGAAAAATGGTTGGTGACCTCCCTGCTGAGCCTTTCCAAAGTAGAAAGGAGTGTGGAGTAAGTCATCTGGAGGCTGTCAGTGTCTGGTGGCATTGAGGGGTCACACATGAGCACCAAGTGCAAAGTGGCAGCTCATCCTGTTGCCCTGGAGGCGCCTTGCCTGTCCTCACTCAGGGCGCCAGACCTTGCTATGGGCTCCCTGGCCCCACCTGAGGGTCTTCCTGGATCTCCACTGGAGGGGGTCAGGGCTGCGGGGCTGGTGCAAAGGCGTTGCTGAACTTAAACTCAAACACGACTTTGGATGGAGGGAAGGGCATTGGATGCCTGGTGCTCATTGTGTTTTTGATGCCAACAGTATGTAGTTGGGTGAGGATGCGGACTTTGTCTATCAGTGAAGGATATCCAAGACCCTATCTCCCAAGGGCTCTTCAGATGCCTGGGGTGGTGGTGCCCTGTGAATCCCAAGCCCCAGGGTGGGTGGGTAGAGGTGTGTATTGGGGCCAGTAACTACCATTCAAGTCTCTGGATGCCATCCAGTTCCCTTGAGGCAAGGCCAGCAGCAGCAGGATGACAGAGCAAAGGGCCTGACTGCCAGCTGGCCTCCGCATGGCCCTTGCAGCCTTTTTGGGCTTCCTGCCCCTGTGCTGCCGCTTGGTCGCAGGCTACCCAGGCATGGCTTGGTCAGACAGCCACATGTGGAGCTGCATAGGCAGGAGGGGGCACATCTGCCTGGGAAAGTGACGCCACCAAGGACAGGATGCCCACAAGGTGGAACTGGGGTACTCTCTGCTGACCTCCTTGGAGCCTTCCACATCCTCAGGGGTCATGTGAGACCCTGTGGCTGAGAAGAGGCAATGGGGGACGGGATGAGGGACATCTAGGCTGTAGCTGTAGTTCTGCTGGACATGGTGGGGCAGATTAAATGTCCTCCTCTGCAGAGCACACAGCTTCCTACTCCTGTCATACAGGCCAGGTTAAAGGGACAGAACCAGATTGTGGTGGGTTTCTGTCTTTTGAGGGGCTCGGAAGGGCCTCGGATTCAGGAGGAGCTGTAGGTGTGGACCCATGTCCATTCTCCATGCCTGGCTGTGGGACCAGGGCCAAGCCTAACCCACTGCCTGGTGCTGGGGTGCTGGGCAGGTGGCAAAGACACATCACTGTGTCCCCTGTGCCTGCACTGGCCATGTTGGTGCCATGCATTCCTCTGCCTCTAGAGAGCACCATCATCCATCATGGGGGCCAAGGGGAGGCCAGGGCACTTCACTGCCCATATTCCCCTTGCAAGACTGGAGTCTTTTCCTCTGCCTCCTTCAGGCCAGGCCAGACCAGGCCATGCCATAGCTGGCCTTCCCTGGGGTAGGGCAGTAGGGGCTGCCTCTGCCATGCCTGGGCCAAGTGAGGCAATGTGAACACCTGGGCCCAGGAGCTCGGCTGCTTCAAGCACCTTCCCCATCTGCTCTGGGGTAGGATGCGCGCTCCCTCTCAGGCTTCGTAACAAGCCCGAAAGTGTGTTGGTGTCCCAGCCCGAGGCTTGGGGATGATGGCTTGGCCTTCTAGAACCCCCACTTTGAAGAGAGATGTCTGCCTGGAGCCATCCCCAGTTAATGAGCTGCGGCCTGGCTCTCTGTGCAGGAAGGGGGAGCAGTGCTGGCGGGGACAGGGAAGCCGAGAGGGCAGTGTTGCCCACAGGTTCCTTCACTTCTTAGCGTGGGGCGGGGAACGACTGCCCTTGTGGCAGTGACTGGTGACCCAGCCGCCAGCTCACCAGCCTTACCTTGTCTGCCATCATGGTGGCCGTGTCAAGGTTAATCCCTGCTTCAGTCTTCAGACACTTTTGTTCCCAGTGTCCTCCTGATTCGGGGCAGGTGTGACCTGTCTGCGGTCCTCCCTTTCCGCCTGGGTAGCAGCATCCCCACCCTCACCCTCCCACATGCAGAGCTTCTGGTTATTTCCCGTGACCTCTGACCTGGGCCCAAGGCTCGCTGTGAAATCATGGGACCAGAGCCTAAGCCTTCCTGGGAAAATTCCTGGGATTCCTTTTGGGCTCAAGGACAGTTGTTCTTAGGACCACGGCTTCTGGCCGGAGACTTCTGCCCTGGCTATTTACGGCCCGGCAGCTGGAGCTGGGTAGGGTGGTTATGCCTAGAATATGGGTGGAGAAGGCTCCCAGTAGTGCGGCCACTTCTGACCTCACAAGACCTCCTCCGAGGCTGGAGCTCTCATGGGGAACAGGCTTCCCGTCTTCCTGGTGGGGTGTTGAGGCCAGCAGATGCTAGGACCAGGAGCCTGGGGAGAAAAGAGTCCCCAAGAGCCTTGCGTGGTGGTGCATTCCTATAATCCCAGTACTCAGGGGCTGAGGAGAAGGGTCATTGTGAGTTCAAAGCCAGCCTGGGCTATATAGTAAGTTCAAGGCCAGTCCGAACCACATAGCAACAGCCTATCTCCAAAAAAAAAAAAAAAAAAAAAAAAACAAACTCCAAGCCAAAAGCACTGGGAAACTGTGGCAGGCCTGTGGTGGGGGACAACTCTTTACCCAGGATGCAGGAACCACATTCTCTGAGGTGGGGTGTCCGCTCCACTTCCACTCCATCGAGCTCCCTAGATTGGGATATCTCTGTTCATCCATACTTCCTCTGGCACTGTTGGTTTGGACTTCCAGCAGGTTCCCAAGTGCCTTCTGGGTAAGCACCTGTTTTGTGCATGGCCAAGCATGGGAGGGACGTGGTTCCCTCTCCCACATCCCGCCTCGCCTCTGGGTGCAATGGGTGGTTCCTCCTGGCTGGCAGCTCAGCCCATCCACAAGGGTCAGCTCCAGCACTTCCTGATGGGGAAGGGACGCCCTAGTTATCCACTGGGCTGTGGAACCCAGGGCCATACTCCATCGTGTCCTGGATGGCCAGGCACCGAGGAGCCCAGCCAGCCCGGGCAGTTATTATTTTGGTCGTTGTCTTTGATGTGCCAAAGAAGCGATGACACAGAAGCCTGGGGCTTGGCTCCAGAGCCCGAGCTTGGTGATTAGAGAGGGAACGAATAATGGGCCCCATGCAGTTTCTCCTTGTGTCAGGGAGCTCAGAGCTGCCAGCTCTCCCTCTCCTGGGGCTTTGAAGACCTTGGGAGACCCCTCCGTGAGCACCTCCCAATCTGCCTGTGTTCAGAGGAGTCAGTGTGACCCACCGATCTGAAGGTTCCTTCCCATGGAACCGTGTCCCGTTCCTGAGAAGGGTGGCTGGGCCATCTCCTCCCAGCCCAGCCTCCTGCAGACTGCTGGGCCTTCTGTTCAGAGCAGCCCGTGCCATGGACTCTCAGGCTCTCTCGCCGGTTGGTGACCTTTAAAATGTAGAGAATTGCACACAAAAATCTAGAATTGGGGATCCTCTTGAAAACTGGTGACAGCCACCCCAGACCCGTGTTCCCACAGTTGGGTGGAGTTGCATGATGGTGACTGCCTTGGGGCATGGCTGCCTTTCACTCCCACCTCTTTCTGGGGGACCCAGTCTGGGCCACGTCAGCGCTGTCTCCCATCCAGCAGGTGGCACGGCAAGTGGCAAGAAGGGTGTGTGACCCAGTCTCACTGTCTCCCCAGATCCTGGCTGCCCCTGGGCTCTACCATTGCGTGCATATTACCGAACCTCCTGGCGCCTTGGTGACCTCACCGTGAGTTGCAGCGGGCCTTCCAGGGTCTTCCAGGGCCCACGTGTGGCTCAGCGAGGTTAAATTAAAACTGGACATAGCAAGTACTCAACGAGCATCAGTGGGACTGCTGTGGTCATTGTCATTGTTACTGTCCTCTGTGTCTGTGTGGCTCGCCTGGCCTGTAGGCATTTTAGACCAGGCCGCCTGAGTCCAGGGTCTGGTGCTCATCTTCTCACTGCCAGCCGTCTCGGAGTCATGGCAGACGTGTCTGGTGAGTGTGCACTGAGTGACAGCCAGAGCCCAGAGCAGGGCAGGCAGTGTAGCAGCAGGCTCTGGGCAAAGGTGCCCCTGCTCTCTGCTCCCTGCCCCACCCTGGTTAGAGCCCTAGCTGTTTGCCAGTTTCCTCACCTGCGAGGCAGTAGACACCGTCACATGAAACAGGAAGGGGCTGAGTGTGGGGCTGTGTTCACACAGGTGGACCTGTTGGTGACAGCTGTTCCTTCCCGTGACACTTGGCCTTCACGTGCCTTGTTTGCTGGGCTCCCTCCGTGTCCTGTGCAGCCAGACCTGTGGGTCACAGGGCTGGAGAACTCGCTGGACAGCCAGGGCTGTCTGACAGGCAAGGGAAGAGCCCAGGGTCAGGCAGCCGTCAGTGCTTGCTCTCTTCTCCTGTTTCTCTGGCTCTGCTGTCCACTGCAAGAAGGCTTCTGCCCTCGCTAGCTCCCCACATGATCACTGGATGCTGACCAAGATGCTGCCTGGATCACTTGCTTGTAGCGAGGCAGACCCAGAATGAGGCTGGTCGGTTCCCACCAACGGCAGTGCTGGCCTGGGTAGCCGGCCCAGGGGGTCTGGGCCTGGCTTTGTTTCTGAGTTATGGTGCCTGTGATGTGCAGGAGATGCTTTTGGAGCTGCTGGCTCTTAGGCTGTGACCTACTCGTGTCAGCAGCACTCTCAGTGACAGCACTCCTTGGTCTCACATTGCTGCCGAATCTGTGATGGTGGAGGCCATGGAGGCCAGCATTAATGAGTCACCTCTTAGTTCATGAGATCACAGAAGGACGCTGTGTACACCAGGGCCAGTGGCCGAATGTTCCTCGGTGTGTGTATTCCCGAGGCTGACTCCCCTACTCTCCTTGGGCAGACGTAATCCCAGGTAGGGCCCCGGTGGCAGTGCAGCTTGGGCAGTGGTGCAGGGAGAATGACCTGCCTGTCTGCCACAGCAGGAGCCACGCTGTGTGACCAAAGGGAAGCCGTCATGAAGACCAGCCAGGGTGCTTTGCGAGCCCCCAGGCTGCTCCGGGCCTCTGAAGTCCAGGACAGTAAGAAATGGGGGCGGGGGGCTGAGCCGGCGACTGAGGCAAAGACAGCCTCTGTCTCTCTGCGAGACTGTGATGGGCGTGTGTGTGTGCGCGCAGAGCATGTGCGGTTTCCAGACACAGCTGACTCGGTGGGTTTTGGCGGCAGACTACAGGATGTTGGATTGCATCCCGATTGTGTCACCCTTGGAAGAGGAGGATGAATAAACACATAGCCTTCTCTGCAAGCACTGCACGCCTTACATTTTGGAGAATTTTAGTATCGCCTGAAAAGAAAAAAAGCTCCAGCCTGACTGTTCTGTCCTCCATTTGATCCTCAAGCTGCCTGGGGCAGGTGGAGCAGACACTAAAAGACAGGCCCCGTGGGAGGTGGGCAGCATGGTGGCGACTGCAGCTCGCATCCAGTAGCCTGTGATGGGCAGTGCTGTCCATGCTGGGTGCAGGGGAGGGAGGGGGCAAGGGTGGGAGACCTGGCCTCTCCCGACTTGGGGCGGCTGACTTCCAGGAGCCTGGGGAATAGGTGGTGAACCCGTGTATTTAAAGGGTGGCTGTTAGTGGAGGGTCGCAGGACCCGTGCTGGTGGAAGGTCTGGATGGGAGATGTAAGCACTCGGGCCGGTGAGGAGAGGTGCCAGGGAAGAGTCAGGGAGAGCTCTGGAGCCTAGGGAAGGGCAGAGCCAGAAAGGCGAGTCTGGAAGTCACCTGCTGACCAGAACCGAGACCCTGAGGAAGATCTGCAATGCCACGGCAAGGGCTTTGGCACATCCTGGGCTCCAGGTGCTGTTTCTGGTGAGAGAAAGCTGCTGGGGAGCCCTTCGCTGGGTCATTTGCAGCCCTTCTGGGAGCTGCGCTTGAGTGGGGAGAGGTGTGGGGAAGGAGGGCCAGCTGTTTTAGGGGGTCCTCTGAGAGAGCAGGTTCAGGGGTTACCCAGACTTGTGTGTGGGTGATGGCACCATTGCGCAGCTGGCACCATAGGCTCCTGGCTGTGAGAGACACTTAGGCATCAGTGGTGTAGGTAGGGGGAGTGGTGTGGACAGGAGAGCAGAGGTCGATTTTGAGTGCCAGAGGACTCTAACTGGGGGCTGTGGCTATGCAGGTCAGGTGCTGCCTGGTGCAGGAGGTCCCACTGCAGGGCAGGAACCAGGGTCCTCAGCCTCTCCGTGCCCTGTATCTGTACCCACATTTGCATAAGGGCTGCTGTGGCTCCGATTGGTAGCTCCCATGCCAGCCTCCCAGGTCCTGTCTCTTTCCTCTGCAGCTGAGAGCAGGTGGGACCCCGAGCCCACCGCCTTTTCCTGTCCTTGTTCTGTCAAGCTGGGAGTCAGGAAAAGGGGGCTCCAAAGGAAGAGGCTCATTTCTACCCATTGTGGAGCCGTGCACCCCTGACCCAGAGTGGGGCTGAGCCTGGGAGCTTCCCGCAGGGGCAGCATTTTGCCCTCCTCCCCAGGGAAGCCAGAGACACCGTTCACACACATCCGAGTCTACTCTTGATTCCCTGCCTCAGGTCTCTGGCTTTTGTCATGCAGTGGGCCAGCTCAGGGCACAAGGAACCATGGCTGGGACAGGATTGGAGGGTGGCAGGATGGCATAGCCCCTGCCCCTTTCTCTGTGAGTGCCAGCCCTTCTGTGGCGCCCTTGGGCGCACTGTACACTCAAGTGTGTGCGGAGGAGGGTTGGCCCTGGGGGACCGGGAGTCTCCACAATGGAGCATGCGCATGAGTGATTGGAAAAAGCAGGTCTCGAGGGGTATCAATTTCACTCGCCTTGGCGCCGGTCATGGTACACATGTGCTGTCCATCTGAGGCTCTTGGTTTGCGCAGGTGTCATCTCCCCCACCTGCTCTGGTTCCCCAGGGACTCACTGCCTTGCTTTGCCTCCTGCAGAATGTGGAGCCGGAGTCCCGGAGCCTCTCCCTGGGTGGCCATGTGGGCTTCGACAGCCTCCCTGACCAGCTGGTCAGCAAGTCAGTCGCTCAAGGCTTCAGCTTCAACATCCTTTGTGTGGGTGAGTGCGTGGCCTGGCCAGGGACATCCTCAAACAGAGGGTGGGTGAGAATGTACAGGTGCCCTGGCCATGTGTCCAGCTTCAAGGGGCTTCCCACACAGAGTCCAAGGGTTTGGTCAGTGACTCTGCAGGGTCCAGGACAGGATCGGAGCTAGGGCTGGGCTCCAGGCCAGTCTTGTGTTGAAGGACACACGGGATTGGGCACATGGAAGTGCTTTGTAGACTGCAGGTAATTGTTGCAGTGATTCAGATTCATTTATTTTCAAAGCCTGTGCCCATTCATACTGTTTGTCAAGGACACCACAGCAAAGCAGTCTCTGCCCCTTGTCACAATAGCGTGTGACAGATATCCAGCCCCTGCAGTTTCCTCTCCCTCCCTGCAGTCTAAGTACACAGAGCTGAGGCAGCGCAGGGCACACAGGCTGGGCCACTGTGGCTTTGGACCCTGGTCCTGCTCCTGCTCTGTGACCATTCTGGGCCTTCTACCTTCCTTCCTTCCTTCCTTATTCTGCTTCTCTCTCCCCCCCACCCATCCCCTTTTCTTTCTCTTCACTGCTGGGAATCAAACCCAGGATCTCATGCAAGCAAGCGCTGTTCTCTGAGTCACCCCCGCACCCCCATGCACATTATTTCTGATGGCTGGGTAGAGTGGAGCCCTGCTGCCCCTTTTCTCTTGTGTTGGGGCTGAGAATGCCTGAGCCCCTATCTGGCCTCAACCCCAACCCACGAGAGCCCCAGTTCCAGCCTTCGAGGTCCCTTTTTGTCGCTCCTGTCCCCCTGCTGCAGGGGAGACCGGCATTGGCAAGTCCACGCTTATGAACACGCTCTTCAACACAACCTTTGAGACCGAAGAGGCCAGCCACCATGAGGAGTGTGTGCGCCTGCGGCCGCAGACCTACGACCTCCAGGAAAGCAATGTGCACCTCAAGCTGACCATTGTGGATGCCGTGGGCTTTGGGGACCAGATCAATAAGGACGACAGGCAAGAGGCGGGAATGGCGGCCCTTGGTGGCCTCACCCATCTGCCCCAGTGGGGACCCTTACCTCCAGCTGCCCCCATCATCCATAGCCGAGCCCGCCCCTCAGAGGAGGTGGGGAAGGCATCAGCGAATCTCGGGGGCTCTGTGGTCCAGAGCCCCACCCAAGAGCACAGCTGTCGGTTCCCTGGGAAGCAGGGGTGTAGCCTCCCCACCCGCCTCCCCAGTGACGGAGCTGTCTGTAGTTACAGGCCCATAGTTGAATACATCGATGCACAGTTTGAAAACTACCTGCAGGAGGAGCTGAAGATCCGCCGCTCCCTCTTTGACTACCACGACACGCGCATCCACGTGTGCCTCTACTTCATCACACCTACTGGGCACTCCCTGAAGTCCTTGGACCTGGTGACCATGAAGAAGCTGGATAGCAAGGTGTGCGCCCCCGCCTCATGCAAGAGCTCTGCTGCCTCTCTCAGGAGTGGCTCGGGTGGCTACAGATTAGCTGTCCCCTGGGGAACAGGGGATGTGGTCAGGGCCTTGCACACAGCCCCATGGCTTGGTTCTGCCCGTGTCGCATCTTGCTGTGGTCCCTGCAACTCCCATGCCTCGGGGCTTTTTCTTTTTTTTTTTTAAGTCTTTTTTTTAATTTTTTTTTTTTTTTTTTTTTGTCTTTTTCGTTTTTATCGGTACCAGGGATCAATCTCACGACTGCCTGCTTGCAAGGCAGGTGTTTATGCCGCTGAGCTAAATCCCCAGCCCCCGGGGCTTTTTCTTAGGTCCTGGCCCTGAGCCCCTTCCTTCTTATCCTCAGCCCGGAGGGCTTGTTTTCCTCTTCCTGGGATGACGTCCGCCTCCGCACAGCCTCTGCTCTGAGCATTGTTCCCTGCCCGTCTCAAGGGCCTCCTGCCCCTGTGCTCTCAGCTCCAGATTCCCCGCTCTGCCCTTCCCATGCCCCTCCTTTCTGACACCAACTTCCCTTGGGTTTTTCCTGAGCCTACTAGTGGGCTCGAGCATGGCCCCAGAACTGGGGTGTAAATGAGAAGACATTGTGAGGGTGATTTGTGGTGAGGTCAGGAAGGGTTTGGAGCTACAGGGCCCCGACATCATGGTCACTGGTCAGCACTGGGCAGCTCTTGAGTCACTGCCTTCCCCATTGAGTTCATTTTCCCCGTTAAAAATGAGACAGCCTTGGCCCCAGGTGATTTTGAAATTGTCCCATGACTGCTGCTGATGGCTTATCTCACTAGCTTGGTGGGGAGTCAAGTCCTCAATTCCTGCTTCTGTCACACCCTGGGCCAGTGACGACATCAGAGCATCCTGGGTCAAAGCTGGGTGTGCCCGGGAGGATCAGTTCTGGGGCTCCATGGTGATTTAGGAGAACCAGAGCGGTAAGAAGCATGGCACCTGGCTGTCATGGTTACAGCTCATCACAGCAGCCTCAGGATGTCCCTGGGTGCAGCTCTGCTGCTCTGTGTAGGGACATGGCCTGGGCAGGACTGACTGCAGTCAGCTGACTATCCTGCTCTCCCGCCCCACCCTGGTAGGTGAACATAATTCCCATCATTGCCAAGGCTGACACCATCTCCAAGAGCGAGCTCCACAAGTTCAAGATCAAGATCATGGGCGAGCTGGTCAGCAACGGGGTCCAGATCTACCAGTTTCCCACGGATGACGAGGCCGTCGCAGAGATTAACGCAGTCATGAATGTGAGTGTTGAGCAAGGCCTCAGCCCCAGGGCCTGGGGGCCCCGAGCAACCAGATAGCAGGCAGAGCGCCCAGGGACCTGCGTTCCCCAGGGTGCAGCCAGCCCTGAGTTCTGTGGGCAGTGGGGGAAGCGGAACTGGACGCTGGATTGCCTTGAGCTGTCCCAGACTGTGACGCAAGGCCTGGCCTCTGGTGGGGCGCTAAAGCCTGCAGAGAGTGAGAGACTGGAGGCCAGGGTTTGGGAACCCAGGAGGGAGTTAGGCCCGCAGGTCCTTTAGAAGGTCTAATGATCTGAAAAGAACACCCCAGAGTCTGGAAAAGAACATGTCAGAGCCAGGAACACCGGGGGAGGGTTGAGAATGTAACTCACTGACCCTTTGGAAGGTCTAGCATGTTTCTCCAAAAGAACCGGAAAAATCCCAGTGTGGTGGCACACGCCTGTAAACCCAGCCCTTGGGAGGCTGAGGCAGTAGGATTGCTGAGAGTTT